AAAATCAGGAACAAGACAAGGATGCCCACTATCACCACTCCTCTTCAATGTAGTTCTGGAAACATTAGCCACAGCAATTAGACAAGAGAAAGAAATTGAAGTAATAAAGATGGGAAAGGAAGAAGTTAAACTATTATTATTTGCTGATGATATGATACTCTACATTGAAGACCCAAAAGACTCCACCAAAAGACTTCTAGACTTAATTGACAGATTTGGTAGAGTATGTGGATGCAAGGTGAACACCCAAAAATCAATAGCCTTCTTATACACAAATAACAGACTCACTGAGAGAGAAATAAGAGCAAATATTCCTTTTACAATAGCATCCAAAAAAATGAAGTATCTAGGAATCAATCTAACAAAAGAAGAAAAAGATCTCTACAAACTGCTGCTCCGGGTCGGTCCGCCCTGCCGCGGGCACGCAGGCACACTCGCACACTCACAGGCTGGCACGGTCACAGCCCGCCAGCCGGTGTGGCTGGAGCCCTGCTACCCGCAGCAAAAACCTGCTCTAGGTACCGAGCATGCGCCAAAGCCTTCCCCAGCCCGGAGGAGTTTCCAGGGGAGGAGTCCGCTGCGCGGTGAGGCTCTGAGGAGGCAGCTGGTGTGGAAATCCCTTCAGCCAGGAACACATGTAGCCAGAAAGCTAAAGTGGCACGGGGAGACGCCCGAGGAGGTCGTCTCTGGTGCTGATATGGTGCCTCTAAATCGGCAGCTTTCTTGGCCGAAGTGGACAGTGAACCTGGCCGGCCTTCTATGCCGAAGTAGCCCCCACTTCGCTGGAAGACCCAGCTAGACCAGACTTCGTACGGGTTGGCCGGTCCTACCAGGGCAGAGGAAATGGGCTCCACACTGCGTTTCGTTTCTACCCAAGACGCTCTAACGATGTTCAAATCTTATTCCCGTCCTTCCTTAACTACGAATTTAGTGCGCCCAACTCTGCAATAAACCAGCATCTATGAAGCGCCTACTGTGTGTCGGCCGTGTTCAAAATACAGTAAATTTTTTTTTCAGCACCAAGACAGTTCAGCCCACGACCAAGCAGGACATACAGTGTAGGGATCACTTCCTAAAATTCTACTCATTCTACTAAATTGTACTAAGATGCTTTCGGCTTCTGTGTCCCTCCTTTGCACCAGTGTGAAAGGTGACACTCTTACCTCTTATTTATTAAGCCCATCTTTGTTTGCAGATGTTTTTGTAGACTGTTATTCCAGCAGTCAGATTTTACATTCATCCTGGAACCAAATCTTTGCTTTAAAAAACACTTCTGTTTTTTTAGGTAATTAATGAACTTGAACTTGCAAAGGTATTGGAGCAACTGTTCCCACACAATTCCCAGACCTGCTTGACCTGTTTTGCCAAGTGGACAGCGGGCAGGGGTTGAAGGTGGGCTCAAAGCAGTACGACTGCCTGGCCTGCAGCTCCAGGCCACCACACTTTCGCTGCCTCGTACCTTCCCACTTTGCCTCTGTAGAGACTGCGCTCCTTTCTTCCCGAGACTGCACTGATCTCTTCTTCCATTTGTCATGTCCATCAATTAAAATTCAGATCTCTTTCAGGGATGTTAAAGCTCGCCCACAAAAATTTATCTTTATTGTTCTAGACAGGTGCGATTCTTCTCAACAAAGCTTCCCTCCTCTGCTTCCTTTCCTGTTGTTGACTCTATAAACAGCCACAAACTGCTCTTCCTGATACTGTAGGAGCCTATATTTGTGAGGAAGGTGTTGGTATAATGAATCAGCTTCTCTAAAGCTTACTTGATTCCACTTCCTCTCACTCAGGTTTAAGTCTATTAATGGCATCACACTACACTTAAAAGCAAGAAATTGTGATAGAAGAAGAACCTGATAATTATTTCCTGAGTGCATCTGGTTAATGGGTCACATTTATTTTTTTAAAAATAACTTTGTTTTAGTCACATAATAAAATCAGTATACCTTCTTATGTTATTTTGAGAAGTTTCTTCTTATCTTTCAAATTGATTGATATCACATAGACAAATGTAACCTTCTTAGCTACCCAAATGGATAACCCAGGGCTAGTGGTCATTTACATATTGAAAAGTACTCTTCCAGTCATCAACTCTGGTTCTCAGCTCAGTATTCTAAGGAGATAAAGGAAGTAAAATAACCCACTTTAGAGATGACAAAACTGAACTATGGAAAGGTAGATGAAAGCAGTCAAAGTTAGAAATTATCCACATCCCTGCAATGCATTCAAATCACCACTAAAGAAATCCAATGAACATCAGTGACAAACCTCATAAGTTCCTCTCTCTCCTCTTGAAACCCTTAGAATCAGGAGGCAAGAAGAGAACTGCATTGTTTTCCTCTATCCCTGGCTTTATAGTCAAAACTGAGCAATTCTACATCCTGCAGTCATTTGGAACCTAGTCTATGACTTTCCAGATAAAAAGAGGAAAGATGGTAACAATAATAAAATGATTATATCAGTATTAAAAGAAGTCATATAACAGCTGTGTTGCTAATAAAATGGATGTGTCCATAAATAAGTGCACTCTTAGAACTTTTCAAATAACATTATCCCAAAAGAGCTATTTTTGCTTTCAGGAAAACATCTAACCAAGTACCACTATTTCTTCGAAGTAATTGCAAGGAAAACAATGCATAGAATCTGGGCAATTACACAAATAATTCAGGCATGTACTTGGGTATTCATTTTTGATGATAGGTAACTTTGGTTGGGTGAACACAGTCTGTCCCAGGTGTGGTCTCCTTATTACAATTGTGGAACTTGGAATGAACCTAATCAAACCTCTTAAATCACACAATAAACAGACTTCCTTATCTACTAGGGCAGAGCTCACATTCGAGTGAAAATGAATAGAAATTTTCTAAAATTGAATCCTCTCCAGGTAAAAAGGAAAAGCATGTTTGCATTCAGCCTACTATAGTTACTCCACGATGACACCAGCTGGCAATTGTTTCTGGCTAACAGATTGCAGTTACTATGATTCCTACACAAATATTAAAATAATAAAAATGATGTTTCAAAGAGCTTTCCTCCACCACCTCTGCCAGTCTAACAATGAGCTTAATACTATCTGTGAGGCAATTTGTTCACCTAATTGTATGCCTTAATGAGCTTTACTACTATTATTTTCTTGCCTGATTCTTTCCCTCCCTTAACTTTAGGACTCTTTCTCTCTCTGTTCTTCTCAGGTATTTTTAAACCTGTTAGCAACATTACACTTCCCCGGGATTTAAACTTTTGATTAGAACAGTCCCCATTTAATCAAGTTCAATTGGGAGATAAAATTACGTTTGAAACTTCTGTTTTCCCTTTGGTGCCAGAAACTGCCTTGGAGAATGCTGAGGAAACCCTGGCGAGATTAACAATACAAACAATCACAGAGAATAGTTTTGGATCCACTACATTTGCACACAGAAACATATGACAGATATGAATACCCCTTAATGTAGGTGTAAAACAAAATAGATTACTTCAATCATTGGCAGTGTGAATCTCTCAAAGAACAGAAAGTGCTCCTATACATGAAATGATTTCTTTCTCATTTTTGTAAACATTCACCCAAGCACCAAATAACCCTAGGGTAAGCAGTTTACAGGTAGCACCAAAGTGGTAGCTTTTTTCTTAGAAACTTAAACAGCAGAATCTGTATAGTCAGAGCAAACTGTGGGGAAAAAATGTAATAATGTATTCTAGTTCATTACACAATTGTAACTTTGGAGTAACCATGACCTTATATATTGCTTCCCGTAAAGTTCTATTTATATCCACAATTCAGTTTTTACTTTAAAATATAACATTCTTTACTCACCATTAATGGAAGCCTATAGTGAATGGAAATTATGCTACCTGTGTGTAATGTATTCGTTAAGTCAATAGAGTGTAAGCAAATGCATTAATCTTTTCACAGTAGATACAAATGCATGTCAATAAGAACTTCTTGAGTACTTGGTACATACTGAGTACTTTCTGAGTGCTTTCGATACATCATTAAATAAGACCAATAAGGAGCTTGCCTTCATGTACCTTATATTCCAAAATAAAAAAGTAAATGATAGAGAAATAAGATGGATTCACATAATCCAAAGATAAATGTTGAGATGCTACCTTGTGCTGGATAGTTTTAGGTACATAGGTTAGATTAGTGAACAATATAGATAAGGACTCTGACCTCAAGAGGTTAAATGCAAGCAATATAAAAACAGTACAGATGAAGATAGAGAAATAATGGGAGATGCATCATGTCAGGGCTTTGGGGCCATTGTAAGAATTTTACTCTTAGAGTAGTGGAGAGCCACTAGAAAGTGTAAAAAGTTTAGTCGTTTGATTATTTTCTTGAGCGTAGACTGTAAGAAGGCAAATGTAGAAGCAGGAAAAAACAATGAAGTGGCTATTCCAGTAACCAGGTGAAAGATATGGTGGCTCAGACCATGACAAGAGTGTAGAAAGAAGTAAATTTAACTGTATTTTCAGGAAAAAAC